TTGGTGTTGGAAACCTTGGACCATAACTAAGAACTAATCTTGTAACCTCTAAGTCCCCAATGGAGTCACCACTGTGTGGAGGGTGTGCCCGTCGTTGGGGATCCTTCTCCTCTATGCCCATGGCCTTTTAAAAGCCTAGGACTTTACACGATTTTAAGGCATGTTAGGATTTGAATTCCTGACTGTTTGGGGGACCTTGAATTAGAGTTGATCCTATCATTATGCTTTTTTGTAAGAAACTAGTAAGGAGTCACCAATGAGTTTTAGGAAAAACCCATAAACCTCGTTCATGTCTTTCTCCAAGTAGAGTTCAAGGGATATTTACCATGAATAATAAGTTTACCCATGCCCAAATTGGTCTATGTGTACCAGAAATGAGTTCGGGAGCGAGGGTACTAAAATAACGTGGGAATCGCTATTCTAGCCCAAGTGCGGCCTCTACTAGCTCTTCCTTTTTCACAATTTCATTACCAAACAATATATGCAACGTGATACCTAAAACTAAGTTAGTTAATTTTATTTACACACATTAATCACAGAAATATTACATTGCAACGAATGTCGTTATTCTTATTTAATTCAAATTCGTGAAAAGAATAAAATAAACAAGATTCGCCTTGGCTTAAGTGATAAAACAATCAATTAATTTTTCCAATTCTAGTTTTGTTTAACGAAGGAGTACTATGTCAAATTAATTAATTAAAGTTTATTTAAAGTGATCAAACAACACTAATTAATTGATTAAAAGTTGTTTAAACAAGAAAAGAAAAGATGATTTATCTAAGTGCTCAGGATTTTACCACTTTTCCTTGCTACATCTTCGTTTAGAACACTTATGGACTCCTTCTTGTTCGGGAATCTCCACCATAAGAACAAGTGATTAAAGGGGTGAGTGTTAAGGACAAGGGAAATGATTAGTGCATAAGATCACAAGGTTTCTGCTGACTTTTTGTGTTAGTTTTTGTGTGTTCAAAGCTTCGTATTGCACCCTTATTTATAGGGATTGGGTAAATTTAGGGTTTTGAACATTCTGTCGCAGCAGGTGGTGCGCGCATCTCAAAAGGTCGTGCGCGCCTGTTGCGCGCAAGTAGTTAATCAGCAGCGCAACCAATTGTCTTGCTCATGGCTTTATGGTAAGATTCGATTCAACATTTTTATAAAATTCTGAATCTTCCGTGAGCGCACCACTAGAGGTTGCGCTGGACGTCACGCGCAACCTTGTTGGTTGCGCGCGCCTGGTCAGCGTGACTCCTTGAGTTGCGCGCGATTTTTCCTGCGACAACCTTAGATTTTAACCCAGGCAACTATAAATCCGTCAATAATTAGGTTTAATCTTTGGGATTAGGCCTAATTACTGACCGGGCTTAGTTTTAGTTAGCTTTGGTTCATTTTGTATTGGGTCAAGCTAGTTGTATTATGTGTTTAAGCCTTAATTAGCAATCCATAAGTATTCTTCACGTTGATCCAACACAAAGATGGTTTTATTTATCGTCATAGCACTTCTAGTAGGGATAGGGGACCAAAAGTAGATGTCTACAACGGCTACATACCTTTGAAATTGATTCGATTGAATATGGATGTTTTACATGATTTTTATGATGATTGAATTAAATTGATTTGAATTATGATCTATGAAATAAAAACATATTTTTAAAAAAAGAATTGGTTTTAAAAAGAGGAATTGGTTTTTGAAAAGAGGAATTGGTTTTAAAAGGAGGAGTTGGTTTTATAAATCGTTTTATTGAATTATTGAGTTATTGGACTTGTTTTGAGAATATTGAGAATTGGTTTTGAAACCATGAGTTTTGGAATTATTGGATTAACATTGGAATTGGTTTTAAAAGCATGTTTGCAAATAATTTGAATCTACTTATCTTGCACTTATCGTACTTGGCATATTTTGCTAATCCGTATTTCCTATTTGTTTTGGTTTGCCCTGTTTACCTTAATGGTAAGCAGTGTTGACTATTTTCATGTGGAGTCAATATTTGAGCATATGGGAGTCCTGAGATGTTCTTCACCTAGATTAGGAATGTTGGTATTTGTTTATTTATGAGTACTCATGACAATGGTTTCTATTTATAGCTATTATTAATAAAGAAAGAGTTTGAGTTTCCGCTGCAAAGTATTGGTTTTGGTTAGTAGTTTTGGTAGTCTTGCGTAATCACGCGGCGGTAGTACGCCTAAGTCTATCTCTACTATACATATTATACTGGTATTTCTGTAGAGGAAGATTTGGGGGTGTTACACAACCGGCGCCAAGGAGGAGGAAAGAGCCGTGAGAGAGAGAGAGAGAGGGAAGTTTGAGAGGGTTGGCTCTCGTGTTTGCTAACTCAGATTTCAATTAGCAGTAAAACTATTCTACTGAAAACCTAGGCACCTAGTCTATTTACAATCCTATTATAATTAGACTAGGTTAGAAAGCCCAAAGCCCTCCAAACTCCACCTTATGGCTAGCAACCTAGAGTGATGAGGCCCATCATGGGCTTCTTCCTCTTATGCTCAATATAGGCCATTTGTGTGACCTTATAGTATCCATTCAATTGGGCTTTGGCCTATTTTACTAGCCTAAAGATCGTTAGTACCTCTAGCTATGATATAATGACGACCCAAAAGAACGAACTTAATTATCTCCATAATTTGATCCATTATATATCTAGTAATTGCACTTGATCCATTATAAATCTTTCAGTTATCGTAAAGAAATATTTGCAAATTCTATTGCAATCGAAATTGTGTCTGATGAAAATGATGTTGAACTAAGAACAGTGGAAGAATGTTGACACATGAGTGAGTGGCCAAAGTGGAAGGAGGTCATGCAAGCTGAGTTAAAGTCACTTGAAAAACGAGAAGTTTTCGGAAAAATAACCCTTACACCAGCAGGTGTAAAACCCGTTGGATACAAATGGGTATTTGTGAGAAAACATAATGAGAAAAATGAAATAGTTAGATACAAGGCATGACTTGTAGCCTAAGGATTTTCTCAAATTCCAAGAATTATTGATTATGAAGAAACATATTCTCCAGTAGTTGATGTATCTACATTAAAATTTATGGTAAGTTTAACAGCCACAAAAAGAAATGCAAATGCGATTAATGGATGTAGTGACTGCATATTTGTATGGGTTACTCGATACAGACATTTACATGAAAGTGCCCAAAGGACTAAAACTACCTAAAAACCATAATCCTAGACAATTACTTTCCATTAAACTAAAAAGGTCACTTTATGGATTGAAATCTGGGAGGATGTGGTATAACTGTCTAAGTGAATACCTTATGAAGGGTTCAAGAACAATCAAATTAGTCCCTATGTTTTCATTAAACGATCACAATCAAGATTAACTATTATTGCAGTGTAGGTTGATGACCTGAATATCATCAGATTCCCAAATGAACTTGAGAAAACTGCGTACTTAATGAAAGAGTTTGAGATAAAAGACCTTGGAAAAACTTAATTTTGCCTTGGATTGCAAATTGAGCACTTGAGTCATGGTATTTTTGTCCATCAATCAAACTATACAAAAAGAGTTTTGAAAAGATTTTTCATGGACAAAGCAACACCAATCAACTTCCCAATGGTTGTTCGTTATTTGAATATGAAAAACGATCCATTTAGACCCCGAGAGGAAAATTAAGAAATTCTGGGTCCAGAAGTACCATAATTAAGTGCAATTGGAGCCTTCATGTACTTAGCTAACAACACTAGACCTGACATAGCTTAATCTGTGAACTTGTTAACCAGGTACAACAACACACCGACATATAGACATTGGAAGGAGTTCGACACTTACTGCGGTACCTACGAGGGACACAAGACCTTGGTTTATATTATCAACTAAAACAAGATGCTGCTCTCGTTGGGTATGCAGACGCTGGATACTTATCCGATCCACAAAATGCCATGTCACAAACTGGATATCTGTTCACTTATGGCGGCACTGCATCATGGAAATCAACAAATCAGACATTGATCGCAACATCCTCGAATCATGCAGAGTTGATAGCTCTTTATGAAGCAGGACAAGAATGTATATGTGTAAGGTCGATGATTAGTAATAGAAGAATGTGGAATGAACGTGATAACAGAAAATCCAACCATCATCTTTGAAGACAATAGACCATGCATCACTCAAGTAACTGAAGGATACATTAAGGGAGATAAGACAAAGCATATATTCCCAAAACTATTCTTCACACATGATTTACAAAAGGAAGAGGAAATAGATATCCTGCAAATTCATTCTTGTGACAACCTTGCTGATCCGTTCACCAACTTCCTTCAAAAAAATTTGAGCAATTAGCTAAGTTCACAAAATTGGAATGCGACATCTTCGTGAACTATGCTGAAATCAGCAAGGGGGGTATTCTATGCACTGCACTCTTTTTTCCTTTAATCAGGTTTATACCAAAGCATACAATATAATATTGTTGTACTCTTTTTTCCTAGGTATGTTTTTTTTTATCCCATAGGGTTTTACCTAACAAGGTTTTTAATAAGGCAACTCATACCCCATTTCATGTGAACGTTCAAAGGGGGAGTGGTGAGAAAAATACAAAGATGATTGAAGTTCACATGCATGTAGTTTTAACCGGTTAGTGCAATGTAACCTAGTACAACACTAAGTACAATAATGCTAGTTTTAATATTGCAAAACTTTGCCTATAGAAGAGCAAGTTCAAAGTTGTGAACGGATGCAGTGAAGAATATAATTCCACTACATATTACTTCAATCTCTATTTCTACTTCTTTACTTGTTTTCCTATTTCTAGCGGTAAAGTTTTTAAGGAGGAAGTATTTTCTCCCCAAAAAAAAAAAATAAAATAAAAAATAAACTAATATTTTTTTTTTAAAAGGTAAGGAGTGGGCCTCACCTTGATTTCCTATCACAGGATATCCAAGGGGTATTACACAAGGGGAGGGGAGGGGGGATATGGGGTAAATTCAAATTTCTCTCAGATATAAATTTGTGAATATATTTCCTCTCACAACGTAATCATTTTCTTTTATTTTTAAAATGACAAAAGTAAAATAGTAGAGTGACACATAAATCAATGTATAAAGTTGTGAGAGAAGATAAATTAAAATGTTAATCTCTAAGATTAACCTGGGCTTCCTCGGGGATATGAACCTTGAAGCCTAGTTCCAGCGAGTTATGGGCTTCTTGATCAAATAAAAAAAAAAAAAACGGACATAGTAACTAGTAACAAACTCTTTGTTCAAGTTTACATCTTATTACACGGCCTGGCTCCATCTCTTCCTCTCTCCTCTATTGAAGCCCTCTCTGAATTCTCTATTGAAGCAGCTAATAAGGCAAGATATGTTTTTGTTATTAATCATTGATTATCAATTTCACATTCTATCTAATGTTAATCGTTAGTTTGATTGTCATTATAGTCAATTTAGGGTTCTTCTAAGCTGGATTATTCAACAATTGGTTACATTTACTCAACTTATGAATGATTATAACAATCGATTTCGTTGCTAGAATATTGCTTTTCATATTCTTAAACTAGAAGAATTTAACGTCAATATTCGAACCTAATTTGATGATTGAATCAAATTTGATTGCTAATGTGTTGCAAGCTTTTGTTTATATCATATAATACTTTAATGTTAGGACAGAACTGTGTGTAAACTATTGTCGTCGTATATTTCTAATTGAGATTCTGGATTTGTTAGTGACAGGTTTGAAGTCATAATTCTTTTTTTCCTCCAACATTGTTAGTGCTGAAAATCTAAGTAATTGAAAGAACAAAAATCAAATGTCTTTCACTAAGCTCGGAAAATCCTTACCCTTTTCTGGGATTTTGAGGTATTGTCCTTTATCCTTATTTTTTTTTTCTCCAGTACATTATCTTGCTTTTTGACTATGATGTAATACGGAGTAATATTTATTAATTTTTATTCCTTGTATGGTATTGGTGTAACACTATTATTTTTGGGAAATTTCGGCTGCCAGTGGCTGGGCTTCCCACCTTTGTCACTATACTTTGCTAGCTGGATGGTCATATATCTAATCTGGGAAATTCTTGATGATTTATGTGAGGAGATTATAGAATGAAATTTGTACGTATTTGCTAGGATTATAAGTATTTAAGCTAATTATCGACCTTCTTGAGGATGGACGTTATGATTGACCTTAATTCAATGAGAGTTGGTATAATTATATAAATAAATGTGCTTCTTAGCTGGATGTTTCTGGTATGATCTAGTAATGTAGATTGAAACAACAATCTTTAGAGGTGAGTTTGCAGAGGCTTAGGATTCGGTAGTGTCACAAAGCTGCTGATTTTAAATTTCAAAATGACAACTAGGGCACTTTAGATCTAATCCCTCCTACTGTATCATTGTATAGCTGGTGAGCGATCCCAGTTCGCTGTAGTTATAAACTTTAAGAGCTTTTCTATGCACACAATATACTGAGTGGCCAGCTTCTGCACAGCAGAGGTTGTAATTGCTGGACTTGTTATCTTAGTTGCTTGCCTTTCCAATCTCTCTTCTACAAGCCTAAAAGTCTAAAACACAAATTTTGGGTTTATTTATTTATTTATTTATTTATTTATTTATTTTTTTCCTTTCTTTTTAATCAGAGTCAACAAACATCTCCCTATGTTCTCAAATTAGATTTTATTGGTCCTATGCTTTGGATTTTTAAAGAGCTTGATTGAATCATTTGAATGAAACAAATATTCTGTTCTGAAAAGTTGCCAATCATTCAGCAATGATATTCAATAAGTGTTATTTGAAAGAGGCCAGCATTTTCTTCTTAATTAACCTATGAGTTTTTCCTGGTCATCTTTAAAAAAGTTCGTATAAACTCAACTCCATCCCTTTGAATGAAAATGGAAGCGCCAAAGAAAGGAAAGAGCGAGATTTTGTTTTTGGGTGGGGAGGCCCATGCCTGAAATGCTTGCGTTCATCTCAGGCAGATGCTTTGGAAATATCTCCTTCATTCTACTTTTCTCACCCGTGTACTTGGGCTCTCCTCTCTCATTGAAAATTTAGTCGAAAAGAAGCCAATATTTTCTTCTCAATTGACCTAGATTTGCTCTCAGGCATATATAAAATATAGGTTCTTATAAACTCTTACTCCAAATATTGGAAAGATAAACATAGCACCAGTGTATTAAAAAGAGCACCTAAGGCGCGCCTAGGCGCTGAGGCGCAAGGCGATAAGGTGTATGCGCTTAACTTGGTCCAAGTGAGGTGTTTTTGGTTAGGCGCAAAAAAAGCGCTCGAGGCGCACTTGAACCAAACTTCAGCCAATTTTTTTTTAACTGGCCATATAGTGCGCCTCACTTTAAAGAGGCGCGCCTAGGCACACCGAGGCGCTGCATAACCCCTCTCGCTTCAGTGCGCCTTGAGCTTTTTTATACATTGCATAGCACCAAGGAAAGGAAAGATTGGGTGATGGCTTTGGCTGGGGAGGAACCCATGCCTAAAACATGAGGATGAACTCTTTCATTCTAATTTTTCTACCGTCTTCTCTAGCATCTACACTTCAACATGGAAAGTAATAATTGAAAATATGCCTAATGATTAGCTTAAGCAAGGACTCCTAGGTGAGTTTAAGCTGTCTAGATGGAAGCAATAGAAGACAGAAATTCCAATATGAGGGGTACTTTTTGGAAATTGAGCCTCACAACATATGTTTCGATGATGTCTACCTTCACTTTCCTCCATCACCCTTACCTTACTCTCATAGGCTCCTAATTCCCTTAAGATCTTGCTAAAGCTGCTAATTCATTGGTTTGTGCTAAAAATTGAATCGCAGAAAACTAGATCTTTGATGGTGCTGGTCTAATTTGAGTAAAGAAGTACTAGAGAATATTGGTGCATTAAGCTCTTCTCCTGCTTATTGACTTCACTTTAGCTACTCCTTTACATACAAACAAAACTGAACCTGGTGTTTGAGTATGAGGGATCCCTTTCTAATGCCTATAACCCTATTCTCCTCAACCATTATTTACTTATTTAATGATATATAAGATAAAGAGTTCAGAGCTAATAAGCTTAGTTTTTAAAAGCGTGCTGAGGCACCAGGCTAGTCTAAGTGTGGGCCAAAACACATTTTCCTTATAAGGCATAACACATTCTAGAAGGTGCCTAAAGGGGCTAACAATGAGGAAAACAGAGCCTTATCATAGTCAATAAATTCATATACAACAAGTTTAGATTAGCTAAGTTCAAAGCTAATAAGAGCTACCCAAGTTCAATGAACACCTACATAAGTTCTAAAGTTCGGTGCTAATAAGTTGAAATAGGTGAAAAACAAGTTAGGAGACTGCACCGTAAGTCTGTTTGGTTGTCAGAAACATGACAAAGCTAATGTGAACTAGAGTTCAAATCTTTAGGTAACATTACCTTTATTCCTGTACTATAAAGGGAGATATTAGATCACTAACAACTATCTTTCTGAACATAATTTGATGTCCTTAATGATTAGCAAGCCAAAGTGGGAGGCCTACTGCATAACCCTACCAAACTGTGGTAAGTAGCCTAACAAAGCATGTAATTTTTATTTTGAAAATTTAGACTTAAAAGTTTATACATGTAATATTTAGTGTGCCCAAATTCTCATGTAGTTTGAATAGTTTTTTTTTTTTTTTTTTTTTTTTTCTAACTTTCTAATATCTGGTGAAAGCTTGTTGATCATACTAAGTAGTTTGTCTTGTAACCACTTACGTAGTGTTTCTTTTTTATCAGGAAGCTGGAGCAAGATGTGGAAACTGTAATAAGGGTACTGCAGCCTGGGCCAGTAGGAATTGTGGAGCATAAATTTACAGATAAAGAAATACATGATGCAAATGCTATGGTTAAAAATGCAGTGAAGAATTGGCAAAGGAGAGCATTATTGGAGAAAAGTGGTGTTCTGAAAGATTACGTGGAGTTTTGATAGGAATTTATACATAGTTTAAAGTCTTGGAATGTTTTTAAATTGTCAATTCTGAAAAAGTCTGTAGTATTTTGTTAGGGTTTTACATGAAGGATCGTCATTTATTGATATTAAGATCTTGCAATGAGATTTGCTGATCCTTGACAGTGTGTAATTCTGAATTGAAATAAATTGAACTTCCCCATTCTGGCGTTACTGAGATGAGCATTTTGTTCGTACTATATATAAGTTCTTCAGTTTTGAGCGGAGAAAACAATTAGGAACATGCAAACTGATGTCAACATATTGGTGCCAAGGTATGTTTTACATTTGTTTTTTGGCACTGTATTTCAACTAGTTAGTCTATATTCTTGTGACTTCTTGACAAGTGACAAAAAAATATCCTGAAAATTTTGTGATTTCTGAAAGGTATTGGGACTATTATTAATTGTTAGCTCCATATAATCATCATACAGATGATTTTTTTCATTTAGTGATTGTCTTCAGGATCTAAAAAGTCTGTTGTGTGCTTATTGAAAAAAAAAATGGTAGATTAGCAAGCACACCATTTTTGTAGCTTCACAATAAATTGTAGTGCTCTCCATTTTCAAATGAAAGTGATTCCATTAGTGGACATTGTTCAACTTATTTATGAATAGTAGGGTATATCTTTATTTGCAGAGAAAGTAGAAGAGAAGCTCCTCGTTAGTTTAAGTGATTACATTAGCAGCATCATATTGTCTAACTGATTTCTAATCTTGTTACCTTGTAGTATTGTACAGTAAAAGAAAGAGGCTCAAAATGAAGTCTTTGGTTATGTACTATTTCAAACCCATATGGCTCCTGCTTCCATGAGCTGAGACGCCAATTTCCCTTGGATTTGGAGGCTAAGGACTTCTTTAGACCCACCAACTAACTTATGGCCAATGAAAATAGCTGGCACACTTGGCTTATTTCCCATGCTCAAAAGACCCTTTTCAATCTCTTTCCCATTTGGAATTTCATCAAGCTCGTATACTGTTAAATTGGCTCCATAGCTTCTCATAAGTTGCTTCATTGAGTGAGAAACACAGCAAGAGCTTTTACTGAAGATCACTAGCGGCATTTCACTCACTAGATTCTTCACAACTTCCATTGCCTTTACCCCGAGCTTTTGAAAATTGGAAATGTTGATGGTTTGTTTTTAAAGCTTAGCTTGGCTTCTCCTTGCAGAACTTGTTTTGATTACGAGGTCTATTTATAGCAGTCATTATAGGTCGTGGGCTGAAGAGAATACTGTTAAGGATTACTCTTAGTCATTGTCTTTAAAAAAAAGTAAGATTATATTTGTAGGTAATATTCCTATGCTGCTGCTTACAAAGGTCAAGTAGTATGTTGCTGTGCCTCACGTGTTTTTTCTTGAGAATTTAATAGGTATATGGCGATAGAAACTTATAATAGTTTCCACAAAAGTAGAGTGGTAAAATTCTAATATTTCTTATGCTGAATGTTGTTCTTCAGACAGTTGAGCATTTCCATACTTAAAATAGATTCCTAAAAATGGCTTTTCAGTTCAAGTTGTTTCAGATATTTTTGAGCTATGAGGATTGTAGTTAGAAGCTGCTTTGGCTTCTTATTTTACTTTATTTGACTATTGCTTTAAATAATATAAGTACTGTTATTCTTACAGCTATGTTTTGAGAAATCTGATGAGATGGATGAAGAGGTGAAATCTATTTAGAATGTTAAACCTTTGCCTCGGATTTTAAGCTTTAGAAAAGTGAGAGATTGATATCCTGAAAAGTTTACTGAAAAATCTAAAACTAATAATCTGATATTCTGTAGTTATTTCTGTTCCATTTGGTACAGATTGAAGATTAGATTGACATTCAAATGAAATAGGTAACAAATCCTGAAATACCCTCATGATTATTGATGTAAACTATTCATACATGATTATTGCTGCAAGTCAATCCAAGAGCGTGATTGGAAGACCAGTGAAGAGAAAAATGTCATTCTGAAAGATTATTGCTCTATGATTGAATTCATACATTGTTTCCTGAATAATTGATGTCAAATGTAGTGCTTTTCATTTACACTTCATCACGGAGGTACTAGAGAGGTTTAATTATGTGAAGTCTAGAAAATGTTTTGATTTGTTTATGCTAGGAATGTCTGTAGCTTTTCATTAGGGCTTTAATAAAAGGGATCTTGTTGGTCTAAGGAATCTCTCCAAAGGTCTTTAAGGCCCTTCAGTGATTTTTGCTCTGAAATGAAGAAAATTGAGCAGTAACTGAGATGAAGTATGAACAACTTTACCTTACAATTTAGTATAGGTCCAATCTTGAAAGGAAAATATTTTGTTACATACAATTAGTTAAATAGATCTGTAATGTTGGTGGTACTGGTGTATTAGATGCTGAACTCATTCACAAGTCAATCTGAAAAAATGTTCATCTGGAGGATAAGTTGAGATTTGGTGCTGTACTTGCATGTTTTATACCCTTACATAACTTCTTGAAGCTGAAAGTGTTTATGTTAATGAAAACTAAACCTTAGCTAACTGCTGTGATACTTGCCCAGAGACTGCAAGTATGTAACAGATAAGTCTGAGCAACCTTTCATAGCCTTACAAAGTGTCCTGTGAAGAATTTTGATTCTATTGTATTATCATGCACATTTTTTGTAGGTTTTAGTAGTTATCTTTAGATAAGTCAGGATGATGCTTGATTGCGAGTAAAGATTTGATCAATAAGCTTACATAAGTTTTATCTTCCATCACCATCTTGGCATGTATGGTTTTGCAGATAGCTGGCTGATCAAGTTTTACAGCTGCTGTGGGCTTGTAGCATTTTATGCTAGTAAGAGGTCAATATCTTCCCAGCAGAGTGTGATGCCTGGAGTTCAGCAGAGCTGATATCCTTCATCGATAAAAGTCAATATATACTGGTATGTTTAAGTTTCAAGTTAGCGGGAATGCAATCTGCTAATCGATACAGTAGTCATGTCATGTGACCAATAATTTTGGGATGGAGTACAACTATTTTGAAGATGTTATCTTTATTTCAGACATCTTACAATAGTTTTTGTGACTATTCATACGAAAGAGAGACTAATTAGAGCATATAAGCTGGCAATATGCATTGTCATTTATTCTTCCCTGACATCTGTAACAAGTACAATTATAGTACTAGACAGATGGTTACCAGTTACTTTTTTGAAGGATAAGGCAGTGGGGAGGGGGAGATATTAAGTAATAAACATATGCTTATTGTATTGGTAAATGGTAATAGATTCACTATATAATGCTGTTATAAGTAGGTAACTATAGTTTGATTTTTAAAATTAAAGTAGTTCTGCTGCTTTTTCCCTGCCATTTACCTGGGTAGGTCGGATTGCTGTGTCATAATATGCTAATGTTAGTTAACTTCTGAACAAGTGATCCTTTTCCATAGAAATTAGAATCTACCGCTTAATGTGCAATTGGTAGAATTTTCATATTTGCTGATTTGTTATACTTCTCTGGTTGTTTCATATTTTAATTTATTTTGATTTATTAAACTATTTTAGACGAAATAAGTTTAGGTATGTCAATATAACCCCATAGACAAAATAAGTTCAAACAAGTAATATAAGGTCCAATAATTTTAGATAAGTTTAAATAAACTCAAATAAGTTCAAATAAGATGAAAAGCTCAATTAAGGGAAAATAAGCTAAGAAAAGTTTAAACAAAACTAGCTTAGATAAATTTCAGATAAATCTCTCAGAAATTAGACAATTTTGAATCAGGAAAGTTTTTTTTTTTTTTTTTTTTCCTTTGTTATACACTAGACACAATTAGGTTAAAATAAAATCAGATAATTTTAGGAAAAAGAAAATGCATATAATAAGTTGAACGAAACAAAGTCTTCGTCACCGTTAATCTACAACTCATCAAGCGTTGAGTGGCTTTGAATGTTGTAGCCAATTTTAATAGAAATTGAAATTCGAGTGTTCGCTATTCGGATAGATTCAATCTATTCCAAACCAAAATTTTTTGATGTCAAATGTAGTGCTTTTCATTTACACTTCATCACGGAGGTACTAGAGAGGGTTTAATTATGTGAAGTCTAGAAAATCTTTTGATTTGTTTATGCTAGGAATGTCGGGAGAAATGGGATGGATCGGATTGAATTACTTTGTCAAAAAATTGGAATTCAGATTGGAACGGATTGACAGAGTTAATGGTTTTGGGGGATCTTTTTTTTTTTTTTAAAAAAAAAAAGCCTTTTACCTGTAATTTCTTAGCATGTACACCGCTTTCAAGACATATTCTGAAATTGTAAGCCAATGTTGGGATAATTTGTGATTTTATATTATCGCACTATTAAACAAAAGGAGCCACAGGCCATTAATCAAAGGTAGTTTTTTTAATAAAGATTCTGGATTGGATCCAAACTACTAAATCCTAAACTGTATTGGATCAGATTAGACTCATTATATCAAAATTGAATTTTGTTTTGGATTGGACTGGACTAATTTGTGATATGCATATCCCATGCTATTATCTATGTGAGTTCTTCCTGCGGGGTGTGTAGGGGTTACATTTTATTTATCGACTTGGTATTCCTTTCAATGTTGGTTCAAGAGTTTAGGATCTTGATTTATTTAAATTCAAAATCTGTAAGATAGATGACAAGCCCTTTTGATTATTTCACATTCAGCTGTTAAAAGAGCACATCTTTTTATCACAAAATAGAACAAATACTTTTTACAAATGAAAGAGATTACATTATACCATTATGCTAATTAACTCATTTTATGAGGATTAGGGTAGATTCTTATTTATACAAGTATGCAATAGAACTGAGAGAGCTCCTTACAACTGAAAGTGATTCTATTACTGGCATTGTTCTATATTGTTCAATTAATATCTTCATCTCATATAAAAGAAAGAGATTCAGAATAATATGTCTTTAAACTAAGATCTACTTAGTGGATGTTTTATTCCAAACCCATATGGCTCCTGCTTCTATGAGCATAGGCACCAGTTTCCCTTGGATTTGGAGGCTAAGGATTTCATTTGAACCGCCAACAAACTTTTGGCCGATAAAAATAGCAGGGACACTTGGCTTAATTCCCATGCTCAGGAGACCCTTCTCGATTTCTTTCCCATTTGGCATTTCATCAAGCTCATATACTGTTGCATTGGCTCCATAGCTGCTCATAAGCTGCTTCATTGAGTGAGAAACACAGCAAGTGCTTTTGCTGAAGATCACTAGTGGCTTTTCATTGGCTAGCTGCCTCACAACCTCCATTGCTGCTACCTGAACCTTGTAAATTGTAAAATGTTGATGGTTGTTTTAGAAATTGTTTCTTGTGCTAGTTTTACTTTGCAGGACTTGTGCTTCCTTGAGGATCTATTTATAGCTGTCATTTTAGGCGAGTGAGTTAAGACAAAGCTCTGTTAACTGTTCAGGATTATTCTGAATCATTGTCTGGATAAAATTTTGATTTGATTTGTGGCTAATATTCCTATGCTGCTGTTTACAATGGTCGGCAAGTCTGTTTTTGTGCCTCACATTTGCTTGAGAATCAACTAGGAATGTGGCGATGGAAACGTGTAATGATTTCTATGAAAGTACAGCAGTGTCTATGGTATTTTCCTGTGGGCAAAATGACACTTTTTTTTATGCTAAGTTTTGTTCTTCAGACAGTTCAGCATTTCCCTCACTGAAGAATAGATTCCTGAAAAATGGCCTTTCAGTTCAAGTTGTTACAGATATTTTCGAGATATGAGGAAATCAGAAGCTGCTTTGGCTTCTTATTTTTTTCTGCCTTTTTTCGTTTTAAAATTGTAAGTACTGTTAGTCTAACAGCTGTGATTGGAGGAATCTGATGAGAGTAGTGAGGTCTATCCAGAATGTTATACTTTTACCTTCTCAACTTTCTGGCTCTCTGCTATAGAAAAGTGAGAAAAATCTGAAGCTGATAAGGTATGATTTACTTTCAGTTTTTACTTTTTATCAGTACGGAATGAAGATTTAGGTTGACATTTTATTGATAAGGGAAAGGAATCCTGATATGCATGCATAATTATTTCCTTTTGATGCAAGTGTGCTATATGTAACACTGTTGGAAATGTTCTCATCTCTAATTATCATCCTAATCCTTGTGCTATTCGCAAATCAGTATTATATTATTGTGCCTAACAGTAAATAAAGGCATAACAAGCACTATGGCATACCTTTCTCCAACTGTGTATCCAAGTCATAACATTGATTGAATAAGGAAGCTTTTTGGACTCAGATCAATGGATCCTAGGGCGATTTTGAGTGATTTAGTCTAAAACTGATGCTAACTGAAATACTTCGTACTCATGGACTGCATATAGTTGTACCACCTTTCCTGCACATAAATGGTGATTCTTACAGGTACGGTCTGTTGAATAATACTATAATTGCATAGAATTGCTGCTATTTGGCACCCAATGCATGTTTAAGCATTTAATAAATTGCATAATTTTAGTGATTTGGAGCAATTTAAGTTTTAAATCAACCCAAAAAGAAAAAAAAAAGCAAAAAAAAAAAAAAAGCAATTTAAACCAGGTTTTTGCGGTCCTATTGAAGACTAATTAGTGACCATATTGCACTCTGTAAGTCTGTAAGCAGCTCAATACCAACCGAAGGGTCAATACTTAAGTCCACTTGATCATGAATGTGTCACTTCTCACTTGGTAACACAAATGAAACCTTATTTACAAACAAACCATTTACTTTGTACCTCCTTTGTTTTCTTTAAATGCAACAAACTTTCTTGGCACGCTTTTTTAGCAGTTGATTAGGTGAATGAGCGACTTTATCACAATAATTTAAACACGAAGATTAGAGACGGGTTAAGTACTAAGTGTATAAATTATTTTGATTAATTTGTCCATATTTATTGCTTAATCTCTCCTTTAAAATATTTGCCAAAAAGGTGTGTTGCATATAAAAAAATAAATGAAAGAAGTATACTCCGTAATACTTGTATATAATAACATTAATTTATATTATTTCCTTTTTTTTTCTTTTCTCTGTGCGATGGGTTTAGTACTAAGTGTATAAATTATTTTGATTAATTTGTCCATTTATATTGTTTAATTTCTCCTTCAAAATACTTGCCATATATAAAAGAAAACGAAAAAAGAATACTCTGTATTATATAATCATTAATTTACATTAATTTACAAAACACCCACTACCATTAACCTATAGCCATCTCGCAGGCTAAAGACATATTTATACATCATACCAACATTGCATCTAGCATAACTAACATGATGAGTATTACAATTATCTTGTCTATTGTAATGAAATGACCATAGTTACTCTTTTTCCTTGGAAGGTTGAAGCGATCAAGATCATGATGACTATAAATCTTAGTGGAACTTCTTCCCTTAGCTACTTGTTTCTGTGATGAACGATTCAGTTGTGGTTGAGCCATCTTCTTCCTTGTTTTAGCTGCTCAAGATAGCTAATAACCTTGCTTAAGATTAGAGAGGTGATGAGAAGGATGCACTCATTGACTTGCATAAAGATACAAGATGATGATGCTCGTTCACAACAATTAGGCTTTCAAAAGGTATTGTATGAGACCGGTCGGCCTCCCGTAAGTCGAATTTATAATAACATTATTGTTAAATATGGAAGAGAAATAAAGAAAGATAGGAGAGAAATTGGGGAAAGAATAAATCAGTCTCACTTATTCCATATAGTGGGGGATATATATATACATACAATATAACAAGAGTTTGCTTAGATAACAATAAACCCTAGATCTAGAATATTCCGGAATGATAAAAGGAGGATAATGGATATCCACACAATATTTTATAACACTCCCCCTTGGATGTCCATTATCGAAGAGTGTGCCTCGTTAAAACCTTATTAGGAAAAACCCTATGGGATAAAAACCGAATGAAGGAAAAAAAGTACAACATTCTTCGTAATACGCTCGAGATGCCGCCTCATTAAAAACCTTACCAGGAAAACCCAATGTGGGACAAAACCATGATCAAGGGAAAAAGAGTGCAGCGCGTATATTCTCCCCCTGATGAATACATAACTTGAGATCTCCTAGTGTCGCAACAATGAATCCATTATGGTTAGATATCTTCTAATATGTAGTAAAATATCATTCGTTAGTCTTCGATCCTCCTAAACTGAAATTGCATCTTCACGTCTTCAAGTGAATATGTGAAGTGTCTTCATTTCACCATACATGTATTTATCTCTATATCATTCCAAACCTCCGTTTGAATAAAGTTACTTTAAAAGTTAAACTTATGCGGTTAGGCCTTCTTCTGGAGGTCGTGAATAATAGAAATCGATGATCATTATTTGATCAAACATTCATTGATAATAATTTGATGACAAAACTTGATATTATTAATGTCGTTCTTCAATCTCGTATGAATTATGATATAATACATGTAATTATATACGCTAATCATGGTTCTTAACCATAAGAAAACATTCTCACGCATAAGTATTTCATAATTGATATGACAGCTCTCTTGCAAATACAAAAAGCAAATCTCACTAACTTTCATATGCTCAAACTTCAGGTTGAGATGTCAATGATGTAGTCACATAGACTTTTCAAGAGTTTGATAATAATTGCAATATTCAAGATATAAAATTTGTAGGGCTATAAATACGTTGCATATAAGTTCTTCGGGAACTTTTTTTACATGATTCATAAATAATATTAGATCAACATGATACATAATTTCATCATAATTATAAGCCCGTTGGAATATAAATACGTCTTTCTAATTTTCCATCAAAGTTGTAAATATGCCTTACTATACTTTAAATGAATATTCACATACACCACAATTATTGTATAGAAACTAATGCATACTATATGAGATATATAAAACATGATAACATATTAAGCAAAATATACAATAAGTAAATGCATCTAACAACCACTGACATAAGCAATGAACAATCCGTTAACCTATGACTCATACATGCATATAAACATACATAGGACTCAAAATAATGCAAGACACTGTACAGTGTAGATTTAAAAATCCATATTTGATTGAACTTCTAGTCTATGATAAATTTATGATCATTATCATTATGTCGACATCAAAATGGACATATATTTCAGATCTCTTATTCACTAGTCCACTCTATTATGCATATGCATATTATTCATCGGTTCCATTATGTACCAGTATCATAAAATTCCTTTAACGTACATTTCACATGCTATTTTACTATGATATCTGAATACATTTCTTATTGGTACCATCATAACTTTCTTACATCGTAGGCCATCTATTGTAATAATTCAGATATCTATACCACTTTTAGGGTATTTCATACACTATGGTATTTATATACTATTACGCTTTTAGTGTTAACTGCACTATCTTGCCATACATCATATCTATTAGACATAAATATCTTTATTATGGAACCGATCATACAACCTACACTTTAGGTGTAGTGATTAAAGTATAATTGACAAGATTTTATCTCAATGTATACACATAATATGACCAAAATGTATCTTCACCGCTATGCAACATGAGTCATAACTAAATACAAATCAAATCATAAATGTGCAACATATCTTGATAATATATAGACAAAAGTTGGCATATAACTTTTCAAACTACCTTTATAGGAATCATCAATTATATATTTTTCGATTTTTTCAACTTTTGCTAATTCTTCTCCCCCTAAGTTGGTAAAATATCTTATTTATACGGGCGTCTAATTCTATACCAACTTAGTATACCAATTTGCATTAAAAATTCCTTTCATCGGGAGGATCACAATCAAAATAATTATCTCAGAAGATGTGTATTAAACAAATTTTATCTCTTCTAGAGAACAATTTCAATGAAGAATCATTTCTTCATTAACTTTACATTGCATGTGTATTTATTGTTACACTTTCTATAATATGTTCTCTTCTGGAAATCAATGTCAATGGGGAGACGTGTTGTGCAGCTGTACGTTTTTCCTTCTTTTCCAATTTCTTATGTGCAGACATATAATAGCCCTAATCAAAAGAATTATTATACAAGCATAAATCACTTGCTTGAAATTCTACTAGGTGGTGATCTTCAAGATCTTTAAAGATTTAAATAGTGTATTTGGTGAGATTCTGGTCACCTAATAGTTGACAATAACATATTTGTTATTTTGGTGAACTTCTGGTCACCCATTACTATTTCGTGAAAAAAAAAATGAAAACCTATTAACTCTTGACATTTTCATCAATACAAATTATTATAAATCATTATTCAATAATAGCTCAATCTCAATGTTATGTCTTGCCATTTAATTCATTTCATACATCTAACATGAGAGAGCGTCAGCACATTATTACTTTCATATCAAGTGAAAGTTCAAGTTTCCATGACGGGTAATTATTAAACCCGGATGGCCTAATTTTAATTATCACATCTAGTCACTTCTCTAAATTTGAACTCTGGTCAGTTTTCCAACACCAGTGATCACTTTATTAAAATTACTTTATGCATGGTCATGAATATGATGTGATATTAGAACACCAACATGTGTTTCTTTATACAATTGGCAAGACAATCAACTAATATTTTGTCCAATAGTTACTCATACTCTGCTGGAGTTTTGACTATAATCTTGATACATGTTAATCTTGTTGGAAATTTCATACTCTTCTGGAGTCTTTTATATAATCATAGAACATATAAAATTTACTAAAAATGATTTCTTCTAGAAATGTAACGGGATTTATCACTTCCTCAAATTTGTCATTGTCGATAGTGACTTCTTTCCTTTTCAAAGATACTTAATTATCTTTAGAACTTATTGATCTATCACGCTTCAGGCGTGCTATAGGTTCATTAGCAATTGATATTGTCCTTATGGGGCATCAATTTTAATTGGAGCATTTACAACTAGTATATGATCAATGACATTTATATATATCCAGCTTTAGGATGGTATCATTTCTAAATATTTAATTAACATGTGACCACTTCTATTAAATAAAGCATTGATATTTAAGTTAATGTATGAACCAAACTGACCATCAATATATTTTATTATTTATGTGTAAGGATTACATAATTTAATGGAATACATACAATCTCCCCCTAATCCTTGCATATGGGGCATGAAATGAATCCAACAACCTATAAATCTCTTCCACCTTTTAAGGAAAAAATTCGATCTTTTAGCAATGCTTGTATCAAGCATAGTAAAATTATTCTTATTAACTCTTACTCGTAACTTTTGCCCAATTATATTAGTCTTTATATTGAAATTTCTTAAAACTATGGGCATAATAAATACATTTTTCAAGCAAGTTGTTCACAATGTCATGTTTAATTACTTGAACTCATAACATTATTTCTCAGTCAAATAGATGATTTATATATAATCATGTTTGCAATTTTTTTATGAACTTTTTAATGGATTATAATCAAGAAAATATCATGCAAACATGCTTGTTACCTTTTTAATCATTCCAATTCTCACCCAAAGTTCAATAACTTGAATACTATTCAATATCTTTTGTATAATTATTCTCATGACATTGTGTTTATAAAATCACATTAGCATTATGACTTAAACATTATTTAAGAAACATAATTTATAAACTAATAGAATTTTCTACGTCATATATATATCTTCATATTATTTTTGAGGGTTTATGATCCTTATTGTATTTTAAGGAACTTCAGGTCCATATGTATTACATTCAATTTATTCATCATTTCTATAATCTAACTTCATGCAGGCAAATAATATCATATTATCAAATTCAATATCACACATCAATCAATGTTTCAACAAGTACTACAAGTATAACGTATCAAAAATATTCTAGCTCATTACTTTAACCAAATCACTGCGGTAACTTGATTACTAATAATTCAACCGCCAAGAAGCAACTACATGACCAATTCGAACAAA